CGTTTTGCCATGTGCGTTTTGCCATGTGCGTTTTGCCATGTGCGTTTTGCCATGTGCGTTTTGCCATGTGCGTTTTGCCATGTGCGTTTTGCCATTGCTTTGCTTTGTTTTTGCCTTTGAGACTGATGTGCTTCTGCAATAAATAACTTTATAGCAACTATTAACTTGCTTGGCTTTTTAAAGAAGAACATAACCCGGCAGTGTGGGTGCCCAAGAGGCACCCGGAGGTTTGCCTAAACCTCACAAGTTCCAGCATGATTTCTTAGACTTCTCATTCACTGTCCTGGGTGTGTGGGAGGGTATTTGCTCTGAGCTGCCCTGTTAGTAGCTGATTTGTATTCTGAGATGTGGAGATTTAGGTTCTCGTGCAGAGCTGTTTTGTGAGGGACACTTTTTAATCAACTACTGTTGTCTGGCTTTGATTATTGTCATTGTCAAGCACCACAAAAAAACTCATGGTCTCTTCCACATCTCCTGTAGGTTGGCATCAATTACCAGCCCCCCACAGTGGTTCCTGGGGGCGACTTGGCCAAAGTCCAGCGGGCAGTCTGCATGCTGAGCAATACCACAGCCATTGCCGAGGCCTGGGCTCGCCTGGACCACAAGTTTGACCTGATGTATGCCAAACGTGCCTTTGTTCACTGGTATGTTGGAGAAGGGATGGAGGAAGGGGAGTTCTCAGAGGCTCGGGAAGATTTGGCTGCACTTGAGAAAGATTATGAAGAAGTGGGCACAGACTCGTTGGATGGAGAAGATGAAGGTGAAGAATATTAAATCCAACAGTGAATTGCAAGTCTTTGCCATTTTACTGCCTCTTTAGTAGCAATGTAAATCATGTCAACTGATTGGAATAAACTTCTTTAATCAAGAACTTTGGTAGTGTCCAGACACTATGTACATTCATCAACTACATGCAGTCAGCAGTCCAAGAGATGGAATTCCTTTCTGAAGAAGGTGGCTGAATAAAATAACCATGCTATAGTTCAATCAGCTCTTGTCCTTAAGGCATTGCTGTTTGAAGAGCTATTAGTGCCCAAAACATGAGACTAGAATGAGCCGGAGCTTTTTCTGGGTGGTGTTAGGTATGTTTTTTCCAAGGCTCTAGAGCTGATGTCACAAGAGGCAAAAGGAGCTGTGTTACCCATAAAAGATGCAAACTTCAAAACTGAAGGCTGTTTGGGTTAGTTGTCTCCTATTCTTAGACTTAGCAAGGGCCAGTAACTCAGAGATGCAGTAACCTGGATGGGAGGGGATGCCCAGGAAGGTTGTGCCATAGCATGAGGAACCTGCCACTGTAGCCAGAACCTGAGCAGTGGTTGCTCTTTTGTTGCTGTGCCCTCCCACAGAAGGAGCTGGAGTCCTTGTCTGCAGCTCTCTAGAGTTAGATTTTACCTGATGCTGTCTGGAGAAAAGTCTCTGGGTTAACTGGCCACAGTTAAACACCTTAGTTTTCCCTAGAGCTAAATCTTTTGCAGAATTAATGATTCCATGGGTTCAGAAATGAATACTGCCATCCTTCTGTGTAAGCTGATGGAAAAGGAGAGGATTTGGCTAATCAGGTTTATCTTCACATGTGAACAGCCTCTGTCTGAAACCTTCTGCATGGACTGAGCCTGGGCACACAGTAAAGCACGAACCAAATAAGTTCACTGTTGTAGAGCTGGATGACTGAGGAATCTCCCCCACAGCAATGCCAAAGGTGGAATAGTTAAATCTTATGATGATTGAATACCGAATAATGTGATTACAGGATACCAAAGTCTGACTCCAAGAGGAGATTTGGGCTGGAGAATTTTCCCCACCTGATTTCAAATTTATTCATATTCCTTCTGATTTAATAGCAGAACGTGATTCAGGCCAAGTCTTGTTAGTTGCAGATGTGCACACCTGCTTGGCAGGAGTCTCACAGCTGGAGTACGTGAGATTCCTGAACTCTCTTCTGCATGGAAGCTTCAGTGTTCAGGTAATGCTGCAGTATCTGACATCCCCTCACAAAGTGGAGCTCTTTTCCTGGTCCCAGTTGGCAGGATTTGTTTTGGCTTGGGGTGTCACCTATGATTTAGAGTAATAGCTGCTGCTGTTGATGGAAGGTTCGAGAACAACCTGGTCTGTTAGAGCTGACCAGGAATTGCTTTGATTCCTCTTGTCCTGGATCACTGGTTTTTTTTTCAGCCATTGTGTTGAGTCAGTCTGATTTGAAATTCTTGGAACTGGAAGTTACCGATTTTACAAAGCTGAGGAGAGAGCAGTTAGTGCTTTATTACCTCCATGGTTGTTTCAGACTGTCAGCTCTGATGCTGTGCAGGATGTGTGGCAGTCACACCTCCTGCCATTCAGCGCAGCTAAGTGTGGCCAGTGTCTCAGTGAGTTTCTCATTTGTTTTTCCTTGTGATTTTATGTTCCAGGGTAGACATAACTGTCATGAATTTGAAGTCCTGTTGATTAACATATTTTCCTGCTTACTTGTTGATTAAGCAAATGTGTTTGGTGGGGCCAAGGGACAGACACATTTATTCCAGTCAGAACAACTCCATGGCAGCAAGCATTCAGGTTTTAATGGGATGACAGTGCCCAGAGAGAAATGTGCACAGGGCTGTTTGGTGCCATGCAGGTGTCAGGTTTTCACCCCAAACGTCCTGTATTGCCAGCACGTCATGGAGAGTGCTCTGTGCCACAAGTGCATAATTTCCTTTGGAAGTTAGTTGTGTTGGAGTTATAGGTTTCTGAACTGGCCTTCAGTGGGATCTTTTAGCAGTTATTTGGCTTTCCTGTGAGGAATTTGGTGTCATTGAAGCCTGGCCTACTCCCTCCTGCAAATAGTGTCTGGTTTTGACTGCATTGGTGGATTACTTGTATTCAGGCCACTTCCCCTGCGGTGGGAATTGGCTCGGGGTGTGTCTGTTTTATCCAGGCGTGTACAGTGATGAGGCTGTGCAGGGCACTCAACAGCCATGTAAAATCCTTGTACAAACGGAATGCTGAGCTCTGAAACCTGGGAATCTCATTCTATGTAGGCATTAGATGAGAAGCATTATGCTTTTAATTTTTAAAAGTAACATGTAATGTTACTTAGGGAAGATGTAATCTGCAACATGATGGGTGGAAGGTTTCACAAGAGATACTCTGTCACCTGGTAGCCGTGGGACCAGTGCTGAAAACATATTATACGTTTTCAGCCTACATCATACTTGAAACTTCATCATATTAATGTTAAGAAACCCTGTTGCTTTAGTTAGTGGGCAGCTGCTCTCTGTGTAGGCATGTGCATGCTGAGCTAAGATAAGATAGGGTTTTTCTCAGATATGAAGCCAAGATAATTACAGCAGGAAAATCCTGCTAAAACTGCTCTTGCTTCAGTGAGCTGCAGAAATCCTTAAACATGTTCTAATTACTGACTCTATGGTTGAATTAACAAATATGGTTCATTCACTTCCTGAAACGTAGGGGAGATCTTGCACTGAATTAAAATTTGAGTGTAAGAGTGTGAACTTCTGAAACTTGCAGAGATTGTTAGCTGTCACTTTACAGAAATTACTTGCTTTGCACTCTGAAAGCCTTTTTTTTAATTCTACACTGTAAGTGTTGTTTTCTTTGATAAGAAATGCTCATACTTGTGCTTTGCACAGTCATGTGCCTGTTTGCACTGGCAGAAGTGCAGGCATTATCTAGTGGTAACTAAATATATCTTTACCTGTGTGGTGACACAGCTTTCTCCAGTATTGAGATTGGCAATTAATAGCTCTCACCTGACAGAATAACTTGTGTGAGTCATGAGGTGGAGGAGGAGGAGGAAATGAGTTGGAGCCATGGCGGTCACTGTGAACTTTGTTGTAAATTCTGGTGTTATCTGTGAGATCTGTTCTAGGATGGTTCTGGAGCTGTTCCAGGAGAATGCAATGCAGCAGAATTTGATTTCCACCCACTCTGCTCTCTGAAAAAGCAGTCTGAATCCCCTTTAATGTGCTAATATCTATATTATATATACAACTATGTACATTTTTAATTTCTATAGTAAGCATGCCACAGTATAATTGGAGGATGAAAATCTCTTTTAGGCAGCAGAGGTAACATAAGCCCACAGCTACACATGCCTCTACCTCCTTCCTACAGATAAACTGATCTCAAGTAGTATCAGAAAGAAATTTTGTGTCTCAGAAACTTAAAATTCTGTCAAATAGGTAACGTTCACCCATTCACTCATTCCATTGCTTTATGCCCACTTACAGGAGCATGTTTGCACAATTTTGGTTGTTTTGTCCCAGGCCTTCAGCCTTGCTAGGCCTGCTGGCACTGCACTACTGCTACACTCTGGCAGATTCCCCAAGACAAGCCAGGCTGGCTTGGTTCTGTCCTGACCCTGCTTTGCAGTGCAGTCCGTGTGAACACTGAAACAGCAGAGAGCTTGAGAGCTGCAGCAGTGCTGCTGCTGTGCTGCCCTGTGCCCATTGTCTCTGGGCTCCAGTGCCTCTGTTGTGCCAGATGAGCCTGTCTGCCTTTGCAGCAGGCCATGGTTTCCTGTGTGTAGGAGATGCTGCACAGAAACAAAGCTGCTGTGCTCACTATTTATAGTGCAGAGCTATTTCAGTGCAGTGGGGTGGGTTTTTCACTGGCATTGCTGAAGTTTTGTAGCAACTGCAGATTCCAATTGTTTTGCAGGTTTTTTTCAATCACAGAATGGGTTGGGTTGGAAGGGACCTTAAAGCTCATCTCACTCCACCTTCTGCCAAGGGCAGGGACACCTTCCACTGTCCCAGGTTGCTCCAAGCCTTGTCCAACCCGGCCCTGGACACTTCAGGGATGGGACAGCCACAGCTGCTCTGGACAGCCTGTACCAGGGCCTCCCCAACCTCACAGTAGTACCTTTGAAGTCATATTTCTCTTATAACTCTTAAAAGTTTAGGAAGAAAAATGAGTCTGGTACTAAATGTGGAGATGCCATATCCTGGTTAGGAGCTGTGAGCTGCTATGGCTGGGAAAACACAGAGTCTTCTGTCAGGAAAAAGATACTGAATTAGGTGACTCCTGATCTTGCCTGTTTTGTCACATTTATAAGGAATTACTTCAAATAAAAAAGCATTTTCTTTTGAACTCTAAAAACAAGGACTGGACTTATAAGTAAATTCAGGAGTAAAGAGCTGAATAACAATTTTCCATCATTATTGCAGGACTCCCTGGAAGGGCTATAGGTATTTCTTTGTGTGTTGGGGAGGTGATAATGATTGATCCCTTTGCTCTATCTGGGTTTGAACTAGAAAGAATACTAACAGTGTAACTTCCAGGCTGTGCAGAGACTTTGATCTACAGATTTCTCCTGAAAGTCAGGCAAGTAGATTAAAGATGTGGAGTCTCAACTGGCTGTTAGTGGGGAGAGGAGTGAGAGCATGATGAAGTGGGAAAAATTACATCACTCTGAAGGTTTTGTAGGTGTTGGCTGACAAGATGCTGAGAATAACACGATAATAAATTAAAAAAAAAAAAAAAGGGGACAAGATTCACATGAGTGGTGCTGTCTCTGGAGCTTTTCAGTTAATTGAGTCAGGTAAACCCTGGTCTCCATCTTTCTGCTGCCATGTCCCTGTTCCTTTGCTTTTTGCAGACCCTCCTTTGCATGGCCAGCCTCATGTGATATAAAATATGTTGAGGTGTTTAAAGATATTCTTAGATCTCGAGATACTACCTTGTTTTCTCAGTCTTCTAGCCATCTTTCAGGAGCATGTTTCCCACTTTTTCTGCAGGATTATTTTGTTTTCCCTGGTCTGTGTCAGAAGCTTGGAGTACTTGGGCACAAAAAGTTAAGTTTTTCTTTTCAGATGCTTGCTAGAAAACAATAGCTGTAAATATTAAGTTTAAGGATAAAAAAAAAGATTCCAG